TTTGAATTACGACGACACGAACTGGCGGCTCTGACCGCCACCTGCAGGACCCCAGCCAGCCGCTGCGACCGGCAGTCCACGTGCATGTAAACGCGCCAGCTGCTGGGACGACGCCTTCAACCTGGCGGGCGCGGGCGTTAGGACTACGGCGTGCCTCTCGACCTCGCCGACTACACTGCAAGCGACGGAGGCCGACTTCATCCCTGCGGCCTCGGCGCCTCGCCGCCTTCTCCTACCTGCAGCGGATGCTCGTCCACAACGACAGATTACCCCTCTTCGAGGTGGCCCCACTCGCCTTGCCTGGCCTGGAGGCAGTGCGCACCGCGCGGCTCGAGTGGGATGGATGCACGAATGGAGTGTTGGTTGCAGGCGTACGTGCGCTCCGCTGCTGGAGAGCGGTACGAGCACATCGGCTTCGCGGACCGCGACGGCCCACGATCGACAAGCTGTTCCTGAACCGCGTGTGCAGCGTGGGCGTGCTCCCTGCAGCACCCGTCCTGCACCCGCCGCCCGCCGCCAGCGCCCTCGACGGAGCTTCCTCCAAGCGAGAAGAGTGCAGTCAGCCACCCTCTGCTTTTCTCCTTTGTCAAATTATAATTTCGATTACATGGTCCTCTTCATTTTGCCTTTTCTAGGGTTCAGCCGACTTCGCAGCGTGGTGTAACTGCTACGGCGGTTCGACACTCTCAGGACGCGCTGGTATGAGCTGCCTGGAAAGGGTACAAAGGAATTCCTTGGATAAACTACAGAACGACCCTTTTAATGGCTGGCCTCGGCATTGCCTTACAATTGAAGACCCTTCTCATTGAGTTAGTATTTGGTTCATTTACGTTTCTTTAAATAAAAAAACGAGGAAAAAAGGAATGTCTATGCAAAATACTTTTCTAAAGTACTTCGTGGTTTTCATATATAGAATTATTTGAAAAAGTGTTAATTAATTATGCAACAATTACTATAGAAGTATACCCACTAAAATAACTTCTAGCCGCAATGTTAAAGTATGGTTGAAGAAGTGAAGGCTAATGGACGGAAAAGTCAAGGACGGACATGGGGATATATTATATGCAAGTTATAAATCTTTTGATCATGAATGAATTATTAAATGATATCGCAAAGATGACAAATTTATGATAAATTTTGCTGATAATACGGAACGTTAGGACAATTGTAACAGGCCAGGTTTTGCACGCCGGAAATGTCACCGGAATATAATATAAATGCCCCCAACGTCTGTGTTAGCTCTTGGGGGTACTCATCCAAGGGAACAGTTCATCCGAAGCAGACGCAGCCCAGCGTCTTCTCCTATTCCCGTCTACGCAACTCCGTCGGCGTCGAGGTGGCAGCTCAACTTCTGACAACACCTTCGACAAGTTGGCAAAGATAATAAATGTTGTTTGTCGTAGCAATACCATCTACATTTATCTCTGGCCTATAATTAACACATTATGCCACCTCGTAAAATTTAATTGTGATTATAGCGTTTTCTTCACCTTGCTCCTTCTGACACAAGGTGCGAGTTATTCAATCATGGGGCGTATATTGTGCTGCCCTTGATTGCCCCAATCACAATATAATTATATTCTAGAAACATTCTAAATATTTTTTGGAAACAATTTTAGTCTTATTAGAAATAACACTCGTGAATTGGAAATTTCCAATAACATACCTAGCATACCTATGATAAGTTACTGTTTCAATAATATATACATTCGTTATTTTTTTACAAGCTATGGTTCCATGGGTTGCGGATTAACAACATATGTGCGCTTGAATTTCTGGTCGTCTCATCCACTCAGCGACCAAAGAGATAAAGTACGTTCATGTACACGAAGTATATTATAGACTTAAAATTATTTATAGGTTAATATTTAAGTTTCTCATATCATTTACAAATTCGTTATTGATTAATGATCGGACTTTATTAATTCGCAGTGCGTTTGGTTAACGCATTTCTGGTTAAGGCGTTTTTGTGTCAAGGCTGCAATCAACGATGCAAAAGTAAACCACTGCACACTTTTACTTAAACGTCCGAAGTGATTGGAAAATGTTCGATCGTCAGTTAAAAATAACGTTCCCATTGACAACAAGATCTATAATAGGTAATGTTTAGAGCGGAAAGTCTCTGCAAACTTTTAACCCTGAAATTGCATTCAAAGATGTTAGAAGAATGTAGAAATAACGCCACAAAAATTGTTGACATGATTTAAAATAAGCGTTTGTCACAAAAACATGTTCTACAATGAGATTACATTATTTTTGTTCTCTAGATTACAAGGAAATAATTTCAAATTAAAAATAGCATTAGTATATACTCCTGGCACTTTCATTTTGCATTAAAAGCTCAGAAGCACACAAGGTTGGTCTCGGTGTGTTAGAATTCATGTCTGCTATGCGACAACATAATTTTGGTTAAATAGAAAATTATAAATTTCGAGAATCCACATAATTGTTATGGGATACACTGTGCCAATACATTTAAAGATGTGAACATTATTTCTTTTCAAGATTTTACCCATTGTCCTGTAAAATATAAAGCGAGATTCGTTCAAAAAATTTCATTTTCTTTCCAATATGGCTTATGCCCACGGATTTAGCTACCACGAATTTATTCCTTGCCTCCTTAATAATTTCCAAGTGCTATCACTTATATTCTTCTTCCAATTCTTTATCTTTTCTTAAAACCGATGAAAACCAATGACAGCAGATATTACTTCGGTAATTGTTAGGCCGTCAGTAGTTCTATAATTCATTTTACTAAACATTACTTGAAGCAAAAAAGAAAGTTCATGGTTTCCATTAATAATATTTTAAAGTGAAAATTACATAATATTTTGTCATTATTTTAGGCCAAAAAGTCGGAAAAATATGCAAAACCAGTTTTCTTGTATATGCCAGAACGCTCTGAGTAATGCAAAATATCGATTATATGCAGAAATGTATTACCATTATTTTCAGTTTATTTGCAATTGAAAACATCTTCACATTTGTAGTTTCAGGAAAATGGACCGAGTTGACAAAAAACATGCAATTGCATGAACTTCCTAGCTCTTAGTAATGCTATATCAATAACGTGATGAGTTACCATAGCGCCATGGAGGAGATTTCCCTCTGTTCAAGCATCGGCAATCGCGGAATTTGTTATGTTTAAAAATGGTTCAATTATTGAATGAGTGAACATTAGACTTTTTGATCTGTATAAGATTATCTAGTAGCATATTAGTCAGATCGCTATCATATTTATCAAGTCACAATAACGGAACACCTTTCTCAGAACGTTCTAAATGAGTTAAGCATGATATTGTCAGGATAACCCCTAGTATTTTCAACAATAAGTTCCAACCACACAGCTAGCCATCTAATGCAATTAGGATAAATTGTAGAAGTTTGATCACTTCATAAAAAATATAAATTTTCTTTAATAGATTGGAAAAGATTCATCGAAAACCACAACGACGACCTCAGGCACCATCGCTGTGGCTGCAATCAGCCACCATAGACGAAAATCTAGAGTGGTTGCAGGGTCCATGAAGACATCAATTCTCAACACACTCAGTTGCTAAGAATGAACGACCACATGACCCCGTCAACGACGCAGGACCACGAGAGAACCGTCGACGGACCCACAGTCTCGACACTATCCGTCGACGACCCAGAGTCCAGACAGAGCCGTCGACGACCACTGAGCTCCACAGAACCGTCGACGCGCAGAGCCCAACAGAAACCGTCGACCGTCCCAGACACAACCACAGAGGTTGCAGGGAGCCTTCGCGCTACTGTATTGGCAGTGCTGGCGCTTGTATTAGGCAGTACCGAATGCTCTTAGTCAAGGCAAGAAGAAGAGAAATGTAAAAATAATGTGTGTATGAGATTTCGGCTATTTTCATCTGAATGAAGAAGTAAAAACTAACATCACAACTCACTGAAATTTTAATTACGTGAATTATTGTATGCAGAACTTCATTATTTCACATGCTCGTTCTGCTGAAGGAAACTGTAATAAATATTACTTAAAATTTTAACCGTTAATTTTTATATTTTCAAGACATTTTCATTCTTTTATTGAGTTCATAAATACTCTTGTCATATAGCACCACCCACTCATCAAATTTACCGAGAATGTTCTCACGATTTTTTTACCCTTAACGGAATGAATGTATAATATGTTTAATTGTTTTATTTTAAAATAAGTAATGTAATATTAGTTAGTACTTCATAGTTACTAGTTGTTATTCACTGATATTTTATTACATTTTTGTTATATCGATCTTAAACGACACCAAAAGAGTTGAAAATGTGTTCATATACATTAATGTTTTTACCTGTTGTTGCATCCGAGAAAACATTGAAAAACTACCGATCAGGCCACCGGCCAAGCTAGAATTTTCTCCTCCAGACAGCGGCCGGGAATTCCACATTCTAGCCTAGCTAAAAAAATAAAAAACATTTAGTCCCCGGATCGGCCTCGAGCCCCTAGGCCCGGCCAGAAGCATTGTATTGACATTCAGTTCGATTGTCCTGAAGCCTCTAGTGTGCCGTGTTTAGGGCTCGAGCCTACAGGCGGATTGGGATGTGCCGGAAATTTATTGAGGTATTTAACCTTGTCAAGCTTTCGGGAATCGAAAAATTTTGCTAGTTGAACTTGCCTCCCGATCAAGTGGATTTGCATTGGTTCTCCAGATCGTTTCCATTGGGCAGGTGCCGGATGGGACGTTCGTAGAAAAAACTGATCCACAATTCTTACCCCCTAACCGCGTTTTCCTACCGTCCATTTCCTTAGTTCAGAGTTGATGAGCTCCAACTTGCTCGAACACTTCACTTAGGGTCAGAGAATTTCAGAACAGAGTCAAGGGCCTTGGAAAACCAGGAAGGGTTAACTTCCACTTGTGAAATTGCATTCTATAATTACTAAATTTTTCCAATGCGGGGAAATGGACAGGGGAAAATTTACGCTGGGCTGGACCCAAGTTTTTTTTTCCATATGTAACTTTTTGTTTTTTATTTTATTTTTGCTTCAAAAAAAAAAAAATTTTAAATTTTTTCTTTTTCCTTCCTTTTTTTCC